CAACATGAATAAAATACAAACAGTTAAAATTAGTATCTATAGAGGTCTGGTCTGGTCTGGGTACGAAATAATTAAAATTATTTAAAATTCATATCTGATTATATGATTTGTTACTTTCGCCAAGTGATCTTTTCCATGTACAACTAGCTAGCAGATAGCAGTGAACCACCATTGTACAACTAGCTAGCAGATTGTGACACGATAGCAGTGAACCACCATTGTACAACTAGCTATCAGATTGTGACACGATAGCAGTGAACCACCATTGTCCAACTAGCTATCAGATTGTGACACGATAGCAGTGAACCACCATTGTCCAACTAGCTATCAGAATGTGACACGATAGCAGTGAACCACCATTGTCCAACTAGCTATCAGAATGTGACACGATAGCAGTGAACCACCATTGTCCAACTAGCTATCAGAATGTGACACGATAGCAGTGAACCACCATTGTCCAACTAGATATCAGAATGTGACACGATAGCAGTGAACCACCATTGTCCAACTAGCTATCAGATTGTGACACGATAGCAGTGAACCACCATTGTGCAACAATATTTTAAAATATGAGAAGAGTTGAAGCAGTTTTAGTACTTCATAGTAAATTCGTTTGTTTTAAAGTTTTGTAGAAAGTGTTGGAGTAGTTTTAATGTTAATATGTAATAATGTTTTCACGAATAAAAAATAAAAAACTAAGATAAAATGCCGGAGGGATAAAAACTAAATTTAGTCTTAGTTAATTCTTAGTTATTAAAGAATTTAAAATATTTAAAAACCAATCTACAAGAAGACTTTTGAAGATGAGTCTTTATATATCATATCTGATGGCGACTACAAACTATTTTTGTTTTTGGATCAAAAGTTGCATTCTAAGATACAATTTTCCCATTCAACCGTAGGCTGCCAACCTGAGCGGATAGGGTCGTTCCCGAGCAGGGATGGTACGATTTGAACCCACAGTGCAAATCAATTCAGCCAAATGTACGGGGATACTCAAAATAAATAACATCGGCGGTACATTTCTATATATTTTGGATACAAATCAATGGTCTACATGTTTGAGAGTTTCAGATAAACAAACATCTGTTAGATCACGTGATTCAACAATAGTTGATAATAATTACAATATCTTTTACTTCTCAACCAAAGTTTCATCATCTTGACTAATGAACCCTATCTTGTCTACTAAATACATTTCAAAAACTCGGGTCTTTTATTTTTACCTGTGTCTCATTTAAGACTCATTAGTTATATAATCTTGTTTAGATTATAAAATACCTGGAGTAATTAGGGGAAAGAATAGCAGGGATTTGTCCCGGGGCAGCACTTCATATCCGGCTAATTAACTCCCTTTAATATTCTTTGTATCTCCATAATGAAGAGTTGATGTAAAGGGCGATAACCATGATGTAATGATATTAAAGTGTTTATTTGTAATCACTGTTTAATTCGCTTAATTGGGTTTCAAGCACCTTTCACCGTACCTTTATAATCTATCACTATGTCAAGTGTTTAGCCCGGGGGACATTAGCGGTGTCTATTTATCAAGTTGACGAAATGACTGGTTACAAACTAACTTGTAGTATTTGTGTGAGGTTAACGTAACAATGAATAATGGAGTTGTTGTATAATGTGTTATGTTTTGTTATTGTTATTAAATGTTGTATAATTAGCATAATACTAAGTTATAATGACACTTACTTGATATACAGTGGACAGGAGCTAGAAGTGTAGTGCTGTAACGTCTTCATGTTGACTTCATTGTGGTAATTTTCTTGTTGCAGTCTAAAAAACATGAAAGTTATCTAGTCTTATGAGAAGATGAATAAATCAGTTTAAATCTTAATGAATGAATCACTCAATTAACTGAACAGATTGATGATTTATTATTATGACCAAAATAGAAACGTGGAATTTTGTAGGCCTACAGTAGACACGTCAATCTAGTTATGTTCTGTTGGCTACAGGTTGTGCATGTTAAAGAACACCTCGAAGAAGTCTAATGTCGCTGGACAGGCAGAATTTCTCTCACTGCGCCCTGCATGACATTATCAGTTTTCATTACCTTAAAAGTAAAAAAGTAGGACGCACAACCTCATTTAATTTCTTTCTGTATGAAACCGGATGTAGAGCAGTTTCAGACCACCTCTGAAGTTCACCGACTTTGAACCTTATAATTGTGTCCCTGATGATTATATATATTTGACTGTAGAGAAGAATGTTAAGGGGCTGTTTAAATTGGTCAAGGGGGATCTGTAATAACGACTTTCTGTTCAATACAGTATGGTTATGTCGACATCTGTAATTTTATGATAGTAGAGAATACGTGGGGGAAGGGCTGGGTTATTTCTTTTTCTACTTACCTTTTATCAATTGTAATTATGGTCAAGGTATGCTCTAGGTATATTTGGTAATGATTACCCCAACCCGAAAGGGCGAGGGGGGGGGGGGGGGTATAATGTTCCTGGGGCGAATGATCCCCCTACTTTCTGTACTTACCTTTAATCAAATGTAATTATATTCAAGGTATGTTCAAAGAATGTTTGGTAATGATTACAATACCTAGGGAATTATGGGGGGCGGGAGCTCTCTTTTTAGATTCTGTTCCGACAAATTACTCTTCTTCTTCAAACTTACCTTTAAAAGTATGTTATTTGGTTATTTTATCTTGTCTTATTGGGTAATTGTTACTATTACTATATAAGGAAATTAAGAATTTGTTCCTCAGGCAACATTGCCAGACAGGTGTGTTCTCAGAGTGGGTGTAGACCTTTAAGATATGTAGGTTATGATTACTCGATTTTTCTCTAGCCCTAGGCTGATGACTTAATAATCACTTAGTCAGCTCAACGTCTTAATATATCTTAAGATATATATTTTTTTAAAGTTAGACAACCTTTTTATTGTTTAAACTATAATTTAGAATAATACTACAAAGAATTACCGTACAGTTCACCTCCTGTCGAGAGAGTGTTTCTATCTGTATTACGATTTGAAAATAAAGTTGAAATACTCGTATAAATACAGGGGATGATCATACCTATAACTTCCAATTGTGTTTTGAAATTGTTAGAAACATGGAACCTGTCCACTGTAACATTGTGTTATTTTGTAGGAAACCATTGACCTAGCATAATTATTCAGAATGTTTTGTCCAGAATCCCTCCAGTGTCCACAGTTTTTCTCATTAGTAAAGAGTTAATTCGTGAAATTATTCATCGCCATCAAAGACAGAACATTAGACAATTCAAATTCTCGGTCTTCGTTAGCCGAATACAGAGCAGAAACGTTGGACGTAAATCTCCATTTCATTTCAATTCAAGGATTTATATCAATTATCTCCACCAATCAATCATCGAGATCAATTTATTTTTGATTTGATTGTTTTTTAATTTTCACTACCGCTCTTAACATACGGTCGCTGTCACTTGATTGATAAAAACAGAGTGAAGTGGGTTGACCATTCATCTTGATAAAGCCGAGATGATATCTAACAATAATCTCTCTCTGTCTTTATTATCTCAATCAGTGGCAGAAAGTAGGATGTAAAACTCTATTTTATTTCAATATTAATCCTGATTAAGTTGTCACCAGTCATCACCGCCCTGTCTAGTTTGATTGACAGCTAACAAGTGGTCAAGTGTCCCCACCATATTGGTCAGTTGATGGATGTTTGTGGGCTGATTTCTGTCGACTTTCACTGACCACATGAAGACAGTTGAGATGAGTAGATCCTCTTTTACTGTTAGAGTTTCTAGTATTGTTAACATATGGACTGCTCTCAGCTTTCTGTTGTATTATTGTATATTTTCGGTTTGCTGCGTCTTTCACCTCGACTCACAGCCAAATAGATCTCACAACTGTCTTACATTTTTAGTGTTGTGACCGTATGGTTTTTGTCCTGAACTGAAAACACCTTCAATTGCTTTCAGAGAAACAGACAACATTGGTATTAGTTTATAATAGCAATATCATGCCTGAAATCTACACCATTTCAGAGTGTCCATAATAGCTAATAATGTTCATTTGGTATTTAGATTATTACACTGAACTCATGTTGATGGCTTGGTCATTATTTTGCACCCCATTCAGAGGGTCCACATACCGACCAGTGTTTTATGAATGAAATATATGACCAGTATACTCAACACTGTGAAGTCTGTAATATGTAAATACGATATAAATGGTATAATTAAGTTATAATAAACTTTTAACATATGTAAATTACTTTAATGATATAACACTATGAATAATAATGACTGGACACCCGGGGTTACTGTACTGGTCAACCTGGACTATCTGGCGGTCAGACTGTGTTAACCAGCATAAGTCATGGTCGAATTTGAGAGGTTATCTTGGTTAGAGAATACCTATTTTCATTTTAAACTTTATAAGTTTGATAGTTTGGTGTTTTTTCTTGTATAAAGACGTATTTTAGACAAATCTTACTCTTACCACGATTAGGTACATCATTTTGACTGAGGGGGAATAGACCTGATTTTTTAAATATGATTTTATTGTTCCAGTCATTTGATTGATCAATCCCTTAAATCTATTCTAGTTAAAATCTCAATCGGTAGCCACTAATTCAACACAGTAAGCCAACCAAGAGGGTGTAAAGAATAATTAAGATTAGTATTAATATTAATGAATTAAATAAATAATCAATTTGTATCTAGGAAACGTCAACAATGTATGATAAAGTTTCACTATGTTCACACCTTACTGTTATATTCTAGTTTTTATAGAAACTCACACGACCAGCTAATTCTTCACCCTACCCTACGAACTGTTCACCCCCCAGGTTTAATTGAAAATATTATAATAGTAAAATAACAACATATTAATATATATTTATTTTTGATAAATTCTGTTTTTATTATATTAATATTTCCATGTCAATCTGTAGATTGTTTGTATGATTTAGATTTGTTAAAACCTGCAGTAATAACTGAATAAAGGGTGGAAATATAAATCTGATATTAGTATGAGTCGACATGGTTGGGGTATAGTATTTATAATTATTGTTCATACTTCTAGAATTAAAATATAATAAAATAAAAACCTAGGGTATTGTTAGTAAGAAAGAGAGAGTTTAACAGGATTAACAACTAGTTAGCGAGGGTAACAAGGTGCAGAATTGTAGGAGATAGTAGCTACGTGGGGGGTGCTAACAAGGGTAGAGGGCTGAAGGAGTTAAAATATTAACATAAACTTTTGCATCAGAAGTTTAAAAAATTGTAGAAATATCGTGTCATTCATGATGAATAAACAAACATAAAGAATTTAAACCTTGACGAAATAAGTGAAAAAAAGTGTGAATATTTTATGATGTTTTATTGTTAATGCCCTACGGTTAAACTAATTTGCATATTCATGAATTATAGTAGAGTATATGAATATTAATGAGCTACAGTAGTATGATAATAACTGAATGATGGAATTGTCAACACGAGGCTATTCAAACTTTAAAACCACTCGAGTTGACACCTTGAAATTCAAGTGAATTAGACTGACTTCACCCTAATAGAGTTGACATTTTTAACGCCATCTAGAGAGTGGCTTCATAATATCAAGCTATTGCTAATATTGCAGTCAAGGTATAAGACAAAGTTTGTAATGTCGAGAGAGGGGGACTAAATCCTAATCCTGTAAAGGCGGAAGATATTTGATTTACTGATTAATAATTTTATCATACCTGAACTTTTTCTCTCGTTTCTTGTCATAAAACTTTGATTCACAAAACCTTGGTGTTTTCCCTTTTTCGCTTGTCAGTAAAATACAAAATATAGGTTCGAAATCTCAGGTAAATAAAATGAAAACCAGGTGATGTGTCAAGATGGTGGCCCCTCGCTCTCCCTCGCTCTCAATCTCTGATCTGATCCAGTAATTTTGAAAGAAACAAACATTTTCAGTGTAATTTTCCAATCGTTGAATACATTGTGTTAATTTGTATTAAAATCTGATGAAAAGAAAAGGAGACTATTTTAAATACCTTATCTATTTTCTACTATTTCATGGTCTAATTAATTTTAATTACAACCTCTAATTATCATTCCTAATCCTTTCTTCCCTTTCTTTAAAAATATTTACAGTTTGTCAGTGTGACCTATGATGTCTATGATACTATGTATTAAAGAATTTTGACATTACAAGGAGTTTTTCGTCCAACTGTTTTTGCATTTCACTTTCTGCCTCCGATTGGTCAAATGCGAAGAGGGAAATTTTGCCACGACATCGGCATTAGCTTAATGTTTTTTCGATTTCAAACCGTCGAGAGATCTTTAAATTGCACAAATATTAGTACATCTGTTTATGGCCCAGTCACAAGCATACACTCTTTTCCCCCGCCAGTTCCTACGAACTGCACCTTTATCATATTGAAAACTTAGTGTTACGGTGAAATAAGAATTTAACTCATAGAAAGCACTGGCCAAGGTCCGAAGCAAGGACTGGTTAGCTTAGTAATGTTTTGTTAGTTTTAACATACTTAGTAATATTTATCACTAAACATTTTAATGAACCGTCAGTGTATGATAGTGTCACGATAAATTCCAGAAGAACTGGGCTAGTGGACACTAGAGAAGAAGGGTGTATATTTGAGTCGTACTGGTATTTATAACTATAGTAATTGTAATATTTTAGTAATATTATATACGACTGTCTATTGTTAAAATATAATAACAATTTATTGGTTGGTTGGTCATCTAAAAACATTCCAAATTCCTTTTTTTTACTGTTTATATTTCTTCATCTATTATAACTATTCTAAAAATATATATTTTAGGGTGTCATCCCACAAAAAAACATACATTTTTTTCATATTTCTGTATATATATATCTATAGATTCACTTAAAAGGTGATGCCCCGGTAGAAAATGAGCCAATTTAGCTGAAAATGGTTAATAAGTCTCGATCAGGAAGGTTTCTCAAAAGGGCTTAAAGGAAAATTGAGGGAGAAAAACACAAAATTCCAAGTTGCAGAATTGTACAATATCTTGATACTTTATACATTGTTTTGGAATATTGAAGTCCCTGTAATGTTTTAAATATGACTTTGGGAACACATTTTGATTATTACCATCATCGGATCTATATGGGATGACACCTTTAAAAATAAGTTAATTATAACTCAACCCTTCCACTTATAGTACTCCCGTATTTTCGTTGCTCAACTTTTTGGGCGTTTTTCTTTAAATTCTTCAAGTTTTTCTTTCAACATTTTGTCTATTCAGGTTTGTTTTTCTTTCCAATTGAATGTAAATTTTAAACATCTTCTAGTTGGATATTAAAAAAGATATTTCGGTACAAATCCGTTAGAGTTATATCTTAGTTGACTTTGTTCATATTTGAGTAAGTTTCATAATGAATGGGAGGAGTTATGGTTCTTTGTGTATTTCTAACTTACTGACTTATAAAGGTTTAACGAGTTTTTAATGATTTGATATTTTTTAATTTCGCGTTCTGTTGGTAAATTCTTTCTAACTGTGATAAAATTTGTCGAGGTCATTTAAAATTTTAATAACATTGCAGTTTCTCCTGTTAAAACTACACAAGAAAGATACCACCATATTTGACAACAATGATATCTTGGATCACGACTACAAACTGGTCCTGGGTCAAAACCCCAAATCCCTCAAATACTATGATGTTTTGCCGCAACCGACCGCCCCCCCCCCCCCCCCCACTCACACCCAAAAATATCATTTAGGTATTAAGTTCCAGAGATGTTCTAAGAACATCCTCCACTCCCCCTCCCCCGTCCCCCCTCCACCCCCGTACCTTCTATTCTAGTGTCAAGGTCACCCCACCCTCACAAACCATTCTTTCCACGAACATAAGCCCGAAACAGAATGAAACCCATGTACCCAGTTGATCTTGAAGCCCCTAGTTATGTATCATGCCGTTTTCAGTGTCTGAACTGTAAACTGTTATCTATGAGAAGAGATAGGCTCTTCAATTGAATTAGATGATCCTTATCGAGCCTTTCTCTTCACTATTTCTATTATTAATCTGATATAAAGATGTTAAGAAACGTTCTGACAATGACATCTCCAACTGTGTAACATCCAGACCTCTTTCTTTACACCTTTATTATCAGGTCTTTATAGCCCCTGATATACAATATACCCCCTTCAGAGTATCCATAGAATGTCGTCATATTAACACCCAGGCCCCCGGGCTATAACCCTCACATACTTATCTTATTTCAAAAAGTATTAAGTATCCCTACTCCCTCTACAGTCACAGTTCAGCCGAGTTTTTGTCCCAGTGTTTTTGTGTAAACATTGTTAGAGGGTAATTTTAGTTGACGAATGCTACTTAAAGTATACTTTACTCTCTTATTGTAGAAATACCTGAATTAACTAAAAGACCAATAGACGTCTGTACCTAACTTATTCTGTTAAAAATCAAAATTGCTCTTAAAATCAAACTCAAGATTTTGATAAACATTTACCACCCAAATAAAAACACTTTACTTAAATACAGAACAAGTTTTAGAATATAATTATCTATGATAAATAATTGTAAATAATATTAAATGCTCAGAAAGGTTAAAATATAAAATAATTTTTAAAAAATGATATAATTTTGTATGAGTTTCGAAGGACTTCTTACAGAAAAAGTTCAGATCAAGCCTGATAGTGTGATGACAGATTTGTAATTTCATATTCAAATTTCATTAGTTAGCCCAATATAGAATAGTGTTACTTGTGGATTATCTTAAAATATTAAAACTTTTAGATTTTGGAATTAAAAGAATAAAATAAATCAGTATCTGGTGAATAACAATAAGATGAATATATTAGAGTTTTCGTCCTGTAATTTCTAATCAGAATTTTAAGTCGTGTCTATTTGTTTTATAGGTTCATGGTACACACGGTGTTGTTGATTCCAGAATTTTAAGTCGTGTCTATTTGTTTTATAGGTTCATGGTACACACGGTGTTGTTGATTCCAGAATTTTAAAACGTGTCTATTTGTTTTATAGGTTCATGGTACACACGGTGTTGTTGATTCCAGAATTTTAAAACGTGTCTATTTTGTTTTATAGGTTCATGGTACACACGGTGTTGTTGATTCCAGAATTTTAAAACGTGTCTATTTTGTTTTATAGGTTCATGGTACACACGGTGTTGTTGATTCCAGAATTTTAAGTCGTGTCTATTTGTTTTATAGGTTCATGGTACACACGGTGTTGTTGATTCCAGAATTTTAAGAAAACTTGAAGAAGAAAGACGAGTTATTCGTGGAGGAGAATCGTACAAACTGAATTATTTATTAAAGAACGAGTGCACTCAGAAATATGTACAGATGAAATTCGGCAAGAGAAGAGGCCGGGTTAATGCCCGGGGCAAACCAAACAATCTTTATTGTAAGTATGCCTTTCTTAATTGCTGTCCTACTGTTTCGCACCTTGTAAACATAACTTTAATCCTGTGCCAATGCCTTTTGTTGAATAGTAATGATTGCCCCAGAGAATAGAGGATAGAGCGCTGATTGTTGAACTTGGTGCTAATCGAACTTTCGTCAAACTTCCGTCAAACGTTAAGTTGAGTTGAGTTAAATCATTAGAAAGATGCAGGTTACTGGAATTGTAAAACTGTAGAAGACCAGGGAAATATTTTAGATTTGATGTAAGTAATAAACCAATATTATGAGGTAAATAATGACGATTTAAATTCCTCTAAGACGTTTCACTATCATCTTCAAAAGAAATCCAGAGACGCCAGTACGATGTTTTCTCTATAAATCACCAGTAAGGACAAGAAAGAGTCAATGGATCAGTAAAAGAATTGGTATATACTCGAAAAGGTTAATTAGGCTAAGTAATTCTCAAATAGAATTGACGTCTTTAAAAGAAAGTTGAAATTATTGTATTTTTCACGCCTTGGCTAATCTGCCTCAAGTTTTCACCAGTTTCTGTTCTTGCTGAACGTTTTTATCATAAAGGTATACTCGAGTCGTATTCAGTTTTATCATAATGCTATGTTGTAAACCTTTACTCTTTTTTACTAAATGACGTCAGACGTAATGCAACATTGTATTACAAAGTGATATTGAAACTCTTTCAATAGCCAGTTTACATCACCAAAATCTAATTCTTTTGTCTGCCTGAGTTTTCAGATGGGATTCGAACTCTAATATGTCTTAGTAGAATTGCTTACTCTTTTGACTTTTAGAGAATTTATTCCTGGCGACGGGGCTGACTCAGACCTCTTTAATAGAAACCATTCCATCTTGAATCACAATCAGGATCCCAGAATCTTGTTCTTCTGCCAAGTGGGGTAACTCTGGAATCATGTGTTAGATCAGAAGTAAGATGAGGTTAAAGTCTGAACGGTAAGATTTGGTCTGGTGATAGCATGTTAATTGGTCTCCTCCAGTCTTTATCATTCTTACTCAATCTAACAAATCACCGTCCTAAAGTCATTAATTACTCTTAATAGAATCGTTATGAGTTCAACGTAAGAAAAGCACTGGTATACCTACACTGAAGCTATCTCTGTCTTTCTGCTAGGTGATTAGCTTGTGCTTCATTACCCTTTTATGTAAACTATTCAGTCGAAGTTGGTCAAATAGTTACGATTTTATCGATAAAATAACTGGAATACTTTCACCGAAGTCCTCAAAGAATAGCATAAGACATCACCATTATCTGCAGGTGATTGATGTGGCCAGGATAGCGGCGTTAGCCTAAACGTTCGCGATTTTAGACTGTTGATCAATTCTTAATATATATCTGAATACCCTATTCTAATATATTCAAAGCCTAAAGAATAATTTGTTTGGACCACTCTTTAACAATAAAGACCTTGGTGAGTCATTGCCCCGGCTCGTGGGTCAGGAAAGATATTATCCAATGATCAATGAAAGAGATGTATTTAGAATGAGAATTGTCTAATAGAATAACAGATAAGATCAGTATGTTGAACTATTTGTCCCCAATCATCCTATTAGGATGTGTTTTAACTGTTTATCAGTCGGTCATCTCTAGTCAATGGTCGCTGGTCAGTTGTTAGTTATGTTATACAGGCGTCACACTACTGTTATCTACATATGTCAAGTTGTTTCAATTCTTTCTTAGAAAATAAAGATACGATCCCATTATGTTAATATGAAGAAAATTATTTTATATAATCAGTTGAGATTGATAATATTGATGGTGGAAGTTTTATTAGAAAGTTTAGAATACCTATTGGTGTTGTTCTAGAAAGTCACTATTTAAAACTGGAATTTTCAGTCGTCTAACTTTAGAAACCTGATCTTTCTTTCAAAACACGTGAAAAGTTATTCATACTTTTCAAGCTGATACAAGCCAGAAGCTAAGCAAGGACAAGCCAGAAGCTAAGCAAGGACAAACCAGAAGCTAAGCAAGGACAAGCCAGAAGCTAAGCAAGGACAAGCCAGAAGCTAAGCAAGGACAAGCCAGAAGCTAAGCAAGGCCAAGCCAGAAGCTAAGCAAGGACAAGCCAGAAGCTAGGCAAGGACAAGCCAGAAGCTAAGCAAGCAGTCTGAAGACATTTTTTCGTTTGAAACAGCTGAGTATCTATCTGTAAACCTGGACTATTATATAGTCACACCGAGCGAGACTTGCTGAAAGAAAGAGACCTACCGAGACCGAGAGACAGAAAGAGAGTGAGATATGAGCTACTTGTTAAATGTGACCGGTGAATGAAAATTAGACAAGAAATTTGTCTCTCACCAGCCTGCTATCTGATCTGACTGATTTTTTTAAATTTACCTGTTTTTTACCTGAATGAAGAGAGGTGAAAGGATTTTAAACAATCCCCTTATTGTCTAGTCGGGCTGTAGTCTATCTACAGGTCTATTTTCAATGATTTAAAACTGTTTTTAATATGAAACAGAATCAGCATGTTAACTTGTTATTATAATAATTATCATCTAGAATAACATATTGTCATATACTAGCTGTAACAGTGGGTATTATCTATAGATCCGTTACCGTATACGTCCTTCTGCACTGTAGCTATCTATATATATTGTCATATACTAGCTGTAACAGTGGGTATTATCTATAGATCCGTTACCGTATACGTCCTTCTACACTGTAGCTATCTATATATATTGTCATATACCAGCTGTAACAGTGGGTATTACCTATAGATCCGTTACCGTATACGTCCTTCTACACTGTAGCTATCTATATATATTGTATAGAGTAGATCTATAACAGTGGGTATTACCTATAGATCCGTTACCGTATACGTCCTTCTACACTGTAGCTATCTATATATATTGTATAGAGTAGATCTATAACAGTGGGTATTACCTATAGATCCGTTACCGTATACGTCCTTCTACACTGTAGCTATCTATAGATATTGTCATATACTAGCTATAACAGTGGGTATTACCTATAGATCCGTTACCGTATACGTCCTTCTACACTGTAGCTATCTATATATATTGTATAGAGTAGATCTATAACAGTGGGTATTACCTATAGATCCGTTACCGTATACGCCCTTCTACACTGTAGCTATCTATATATATTGTCATATACTAGCTGTAACAGTCGGTATTACCTATAGATCCGTTACCGTATACGTCCTTCTGCACTGTAGCTATCTATATATATTGTATAGAGTAGATCTATAACAGTGGGTATTACCTATAGATCCGTTACCGTATACGTCCTTCTACACTGTAGCTATCTATATATATTGTATAAAGTAGATCTATAACAGTGGGTATTACCTATAGATCCGTTACCGTATACGTCCTTCTGCACTGTAGCTATCTATATATATTGTATAGAGTAGATCTATAACAGTGGGTATTACCTATAGATCCGTTACCGTATACGTCCTTCTACACTGTAGCTATCTATATATATTGTATAGAGTAGATCTATAACAGTGGGTATTACCTATAGATCCGTTACCGTATACGTCCTTCTACACTGTAGCTATCTATATATATTGTATAGAGTAGATCTATAACAGTGGGTATTACCTATAGATCCGTTACCGTATACGTCCTTCTACACTGTAGCTATCTATATATATTGTATAAAGTAGATCTGTAACAGTGGGTATTACCTATAGATCCGTTACCGTATACGTCCTTCTACACTGTAGCTATCTATAGATATTGTCATATACTAGCTGTAACAGTCGGTATTACCTATAGATCCGTTACCTAATACGTCCTTCTACACTGTAGCTATCTATATATATTGTCATATACTAGCTGTAACAGTCGGTATTACCTATAGATCCGTTACCGTATACGTCCTTCTACACTGTAGCTATCTATAGATATTGTCATATACTAGCTGTAACAGTCGGTATTACCTATAGATCCGTTACCTAATACGTCCTTCTACACTGTAGCTATCTATATATATTGTCATATACTAGCTGTAACAGTGGGTATTATCTATAGATCCGTTACCGTATACGTCCTTCTACACTGTAGCTATCTATATATATTGTATAGAGTAGATCTGTAACAGTGGGTATTACCTATAGATCCGTTTCCTAATACGTCCTTCTACACTGTAGCTATCTATATATATTGTATAGAGTAGATCTGTAACAGTGGGTATTACCTATAGATCCGTTTCCTAATACGTCCTTCTACACTGTAGCTATCTATATATATTGTATAGAGTAGATCTATAACAGTGGGTATTATCTATAGATCCGTTACCGTATACGTCCTTCTACACTGTAGCTATCTATATATATTGTATAAAGTAGATCTGTAACAGTGGGTATTACCTATAGATCCGTTACCGTATACGTCCTTCTACACTGTAGCTATCTATAGATATTGTCATATACTAGCTGTAACAGTCGGTATTACCTATAGATCCGTTACCTAATACGTCCTTCTACACTGTAGCTATCTATATATATTGTCATAGAGTAGATCTATAACAGTGGGTATTACCTATAGATCCGTTACCGTATACGTCCTTCTACACTGTAGCTATCTATATATATTGTATAAAGTAGATCTATAACAGTGGGTATTACCTATAGATCCGTTACCGTATACGTCCTTCTGCACTGTAGCTATCTATATATATTGTATAGAGTAGATCTATAACAGTGGGTATTACCTATAGATCCGTTACCGTATACGTCCTTCTACACTGTAGCTATCTATATATATTGTATAGAGTAGATCTGTAACAGTGGGTATTACCTATAGATCCGTTACCGTATACGTCCTTCTACACTGTAGCTATCTATATATATTGTATAGAGTAGATCTATAACAGTGGGTATTACCCATAGATCCGTTACCTAATACGTCCTTCTGCACTGTAGCTATCTATATATATTGTCATCAACTAGCTGTAACAGTGGGTATTACCTATAGATCCGTTACCGTATACGTCCTTCTACACTGTAGCTATCTATATATATTGTATAGAGTAGATCTGTAACAGTGGGTATTACCTATAGATCCGTTACCGAATACGTCCTTCTGCACTGTAGATCTATATAGCTATAAAACTTGCGTGAAGTTTTACATCCTATTGGTCCATATCTCAGTCGACTTGGCTGTCAGCAACTCCAATTCTAGTTCTGGTCTTTCTTTATACGTGTAGTTTCAGAGATTTTATACCTACATAGCTTGTCATAAATCTGTTTAGATTATTATAATCACTACCTAATCAGTTTTATGTGTGCGACAACGGGCCTCGAGTAATTATATCATTAAATATTAAATCTTCATAAATTATCGAGGCGCTTCAATGTCTGTTTTACACCTGGTCTTAAAAATCACAATTTCTTTTATTTTATTTTATTTTTTCCTCTTTATTTCAGCTCAGTTAACATTTTTATCAGAGGCGGGAGGAGCAATCAGAATTCAGGGGAAAGAAACCAAGAAATTTTTATGTTTTAGTAAACGGGGGAAACTTGTACTCAAGGTAAGGCACTTTTTGAAGATTTTAAAAGGACTAAGTCTAAATATTTCTATAGCTAGCTGAGAAATCAGGCTTGTAGTCACAGTGTGGCAAGGGAGCGAAAAATAGATTTGAATTGAAATATGTCACACTGTTTAACCTTATCAATAGTGGAGGAATTTAAAATAAAAACAGAAAACATTGTGATATTTTCACTACGTCAATTTAAACTACATCTTATAAAACTAATAGGTGTATCAATATATATAATACATCTCAATTCAGACTAGGTAAAATATTTCTAATAGAATCTTTAAGATCGTTTAAATGAGTGAAATAATTTCCTTTATGATTAAATTATTATAAACTTGTATTATTATAAACTTGTATTATAAATGTACATCTTATGCCTTCAGTCTTTATATCTTATAAAAATACTCCATATAATTTATAATACAGAGATAATAGTTTATTTTATGATTTAGATTATTTTTAGCTGAGATGATCGGATAGAATGTTTCTTTTATTTGACGTGAGTTCATTTCATGCTGCTGACATGTGTTTCAAAATGAAAATGAAATGAATGGAGTTTTACGTCCTACTTTTCTGCACCTTATGGGCTAATGAAATCAGGCAACGCCATGTAGGGTGCAGTGAGGGAAATTTTGCCAGGACAGCGGCATTAGCCTGCTCTTTTTCGATTTCCTACTGTCGAGGGATCTATAACATGCACAGCCTGTAGCACACGGGGCCTAGGTTTATTGTCCCATCCGAACGACAATGTCAAACACGTGTTTCAGATATTCAATCCACCAGTACATTTTTGATAATTGTGTTTAACTTTTCAAAAGAACCGAACAGTAATTTAAATAATGAAACGTATCTCTGTGATCCTTGTCCGGTAAAAGAAAACTTTAAGATATCAATATAGAGATTTTTGACTAAACCCCAACTCTTACCCTCCTTCCCATCCTTAAAGCACCCATCAAAACAGTAGTAGATCCCGACCCAACCAACACAATAGACACACTAGTATCTGTGGTAGATCTTAGTCTAATCTTCTATTTTTCAAAATATGTATGAAGACGGTATCACCCAGTGCAGTGACGAGAGTTGAAGAGGTCGAGGAAAGAATTTAAGACAGGATTAAGACGATCGTTCTCAGTTTTCAAGATTTCGTGTGTAGTCGTAATTGCCAGACAGGATATGTTAAATATGTTATTATTGAAATGTTACAAGTGCACCGAATATAACACAAACCTGGGTATTATGATGAGTGGACACTTTTATAGGTCAGCTATAATATATATCTTCAAGAATACATTGATCGTCTTCATTGACCCACAATTCAGCGGTAAATCTCTCTATCCAGCTGGTCATTATTGTAAAGACTAAATATATCCTACTGTCCTTATAAAATCACCAACATGATTCAATTCACTATGAGAATTACCATCAGGTGTTTCAAAAATAGTAAGCATGGTCTGCTTCGCATGCGACACTTACCGCTATTACATATAGGTCAAAATCATGAGATACAAAGGTATATAGAGGTATTTAAACCTGTTTTATCATATTCTCATCTCATAGCCGGCTTAACTTTCTTCTCAGTCCGTTTTACAGAAACAGCACGTTTAATACACAAATTAAACTCCGACAATGGTCTCAATATTTTTAAATTTCACGATGCAGAATACCGCTTAATCCACCACTATTCACTCCAACTCATTGAAAGATTTTCTGTTTTTTATGTTTCACGTTTCACCCTGGGTAGTCTGAGGGACGGGACATTTCAAAATGTCAAATGCATAAATTTTTTAATTGTTTAAACTTTCTATTCCCTTAAAAAAAACTTGACCTATATCGAGTGATATTTCATGTAAGACATGCATGTTAGTGGGACAATAGATAAACGTATCGACGTCCTGAAATGAGACCTAGTCAATTGATGTAAGGGGCTTGATCCAATATTGTGCTCGTATCTGATCTGTTAGAATTTTGACAACACTCGACAGTTGGAATAGTTTAAATTGCAGAGTGCTGGGACAGAGTTGTTTGAATTACTGTCTTAACTCTTTCTCTGAAACCAACAAATAAAAATGATATACGTTTTATTTTATCTGAGGGTACAAAACTGTATTTTTTACAAGGTGACTAAACACTAAAAGCCAGTGTAGATTTTATAATGTGTGTATGTCATGTATTTGGATGTCAAAACCACAATAAAAATATCAATTTTTATTCAGTTTACGTTTTTCACGGTAGATAAAAAAGCGGTAAAATCAGATAAAAAGTGTAAAAGTATTTAGAGGCCTGTAGCCATGTCTATAGTGACATGTACGTTACTGATTTAAAGATAGGCGAGGGAAGATATGACAAAAATTGTCTGAAAATTATAATCGCTTTTTTTAAAAAAATATACTTTATTTGACTAATAGGTTTTTTTGCTTATTACGTATTTTTCTATCTTAATACACAACAAGAATTATTGACTGTCTTGAAGAAGGAGATGGATTATTGCAAGACCATTTTAAACCTTTCCTTTAAATTTGACTCGTAATAATCTAGGATATGGTTTTAGCTGGACGCGTTTTAATTCTCAGTTCTCTGCCCTTGCGTCTGATGCACCGCTTGTGACAAATCTTCCAAATATTTCAAGTTGGCAAACTATTGTTTTAAATAACATTGTAGGAGCTAATCATAAATCTTTACATTGAACATACACAATACACGGAGAAAATGTCTGAAAACAACTGAAGGTGTCAAAGTGTTAAAACTAAAGATTTTACAGTCGGTAGTTTATAGTTAAACATGTTATTTTCAAACAGCGAAAGTAGAAATTATCATACATGTCAGTTTTTATAACTTGCTGTCGTCGTGTTGAATATATTACAGATACCAATTTTTTTGTATTTACAAAGGAAACCCGAAAGAAACGACGCATCCAAACGTAGTTAAAAGTCTTTATCTCAAGGAGAACGTTCTTAATGAAACGAATAGAACATAAAATACATACGGAAGAGTACAACCTGCTTGTGATTTTTGTAAATACCTGGAACGTAGTTGCGTACAACTGGTTAACTTATATATAAGCCTCCTAAAAACTCACTGTTCAGGTGGTGCACTAGCTGTAACAAGGTGTGAGATAAGGCGACGTTTTAAGTCCTCGCTTTTTAATACAATGTAATAAAAACTATGACAAAAATTACAACAAGATGATAATTTAGCCTTCAAGTTTGTCAATGACTGCATAATCTTATAAAAATGTAAGAAGAACACAACCCGGTGTTTATAAAAAAATATAATCGTCCTCGTTTCGTCTGTCTCGATCTTATACAATGACTCTATACTACCGACCGTCCTAGGACCAGCTCCATTCTTATTTAGAATAATAGATTTTATTATACATAAAATGATTTAAAAGAATCATACTGTGTCTTTAGAAATCTGATTTTTACGAATATTTTATTTTGAACACCTCCCACTGCCATCTTTGTTGTTTTTCTTGTAAAATGAAGCGAAGCTTGTCGAATATTTACTGGGGGAGTCGATTGAATTTTTTACCTACATCGTTACAAACTGAGAGAAAACCACAATGAAAAAAAAACTTAGTGAATGTAACCAACAATATTGTCAATATTTGTCGTGTTGGTTTTAAGAACTACATTGGAGTTAAGATTTAGCCATGCCGTTGTTTAATGAGTTGAATGATCTCGAGGTCAGTCTTGATGTAACCTACATCGTTACTTTGTGTCCTACTGTTCTGCACCATGTGGGCTGAAGACCATGAACCATGAAGACAGATTACTTATTGAGAGAAAACCATAATGAAAATACCTGGTGAATAATCAAATACTGTTAATCGTGTTGGTTTTGAATATAGAGATTTTTGTAGAGAATTGTATAGTCTTTGAACATAAACGCTAAAAGGTTCGGGAATGACCTTCTGTGACAATCTTGACCACCAGCAGAGTTATGGTTATTGACTTCGATATTTTTGGGCTTTTTGAAACTTTTTTTTATGTTTAAATATTTTTGGATATAAGAATAAAAAGGGGGACCAGGTCGGATAATAGTTTATTGTATAATAGATCAGTATATTGATGGCAGTGACAGGTACTTGACCTGTTCGGGCATGACGCACCCGCCATACACGAGTCAGGGGGGTAGGAGGAAACCCGCATATTATCAAATCTTAGCGCTAGAATGTCTGAGGGTCTAACTTTTAACACTGTTTCTAGGATATCTTAGCGCTAGAATGTTTGAGGGTCTAACTTTTAACACTGTTTCTAGGATATCTTAGCGCTAGAATGTTTGAGGGTCTAACTTTTAACACTGTTTCTATGATATCTTTGCGCTAGAATGTCTGAGGGTCTAACTTTTAACACTGTTTCTAGGATATCACAGCGCTAGAATGTCTGAGAGTCTAACTTTTAACACTGTTTCTAGGATATCATAGCGCTAGAATGTCTGAGAGTCTAACTTTTAACACTGTTTCTATGATATCTTTGCGCTAGAATGTCTGAGGGTCTAACTTTTAACACTGTTTCTAGGATATCACAGCGCTAGAATGTCTGAGAGTCTAACTTTTAACACTGTTTCTAGGATATCATAGCGCTAGAATGTCTGAGAGTCTAACTTTTAACACTGTTTCTAGGATATCATAGCCCTAAGATCGTTTCGAGAATATGCGTCCCCTAAAGAAATGAATATCAACTGAAATTATCTGCAATGAAAATTAACAACGAAGGTCAGATAATATTTTGTTATTTTATAGTTTAAATTGGTTGTACACGTCAATACACATTAGTTCAGTAAAACCTGAGACTGCAACATTCCACTAGTTTATAAAACATCAAAGTAACGGAGATAATAACTTGTTAAATAAAGACTGCAGTAGAAGGTGCATTGGAGTTAATAGTGTTACAATGTTCATCTTTATAAATCTCTCTTCTTTATAATTAAAACATGCCTCAAATATTTTCTTAACTATTATAATATATAATATATGTTTGTCGTCGCTGATGAAAGCCTCCAGGTCAAATCAACTTTTCTCTCATATTATAATAATCATGATACAGTCTGTTCCCACTTGTCGTGTGATATATTTTGTATGCTTTCCCAAACACCTGAAACAGTT